GCCCTGTTCTTCCCGAGGGAAAGCAGATCCACAGCATTCATTTGCAGTGAGCCATTAGCAAGCTTTAGAAGTTTCCCATCAAATTCCCTAGGCCCCTGAAACCGTTATGATCCATTTTGATGATGAACCAAAGCAAAGAGACAGTATTGTTTGCAATTTTTTAAAAAGGAGAGTTCCAATTTTTGAGGGTTGCTCTGAGGTTTTTGGTCTAGTTCTCATTTTAAAAATATTTTTCTTTTCTTCCTTTCTTGGTATTCCCACAGTGCTTTGCAGACCACATTCTGAAAGAACTGGACCATTTTCCACTTGAGAAGAGAAGCGAGGTGGTCATTCTGTTTTCTGCTCACTCACTGCCAATGTCTGTAAGTAAGAACATTTTGGTGGATGAGACCTAGTGGTGGAGGACTGGGTTGTTTCATTTTCTAAGTGTGTAAAACGAACCCGGTTTCCATTATGTCCTAAGCCCAGTGGAAGAATTAATTCTAAAATCCCAGACTTAACTCGGTACTAACTTTAGTAGACTCACTTCTTGAAACCGTATAATATTGTAAATAGATCTTTTCTTTTCTTTTTTTTTTTTTTTTAAAAGATGACCGGTAAGGGGATCTCAACCCTTGGCTTGGTGTTGTCAGCACCACGCTCAGCTAGTGAGCAAACCGGCCATCCCTATTAGGATCCGAACCCGTGGCCTTGGTGTTATGAGCACCGCACTCTACCGAGTGAGCCACGGGCCGGCCTGTAAATAGATCTTTTCTTAATAACCCTCTTTAAAATGGTAACATGAAGATATTTTCATGTATGAGAATTTCCAATCAGTAGGACAGTTAAAAGAAGACTGCGTTTGACTGCCCTGTTGAAGGTATTCAGCCTGATGTTTCAGTGTGTTGATTTTACAGTCTCCATTCAGACTAAGCGCTCTCGATCCCATTCTTTCGTCCTCAAGACATGGTAGGGGCTGTTTGAATTCCAGGAAGCAATTACAGTTGTCAGCTAAGACTGTGAACTACATTTTGGCAAGTGAATACAGAGTGAATCAAGTTGTGATCTGGTTGCTTCTTAGTTCATCATATTACACTGGGTTGTTCATTAAAATACTGCAATCTGTGCCATAGATGTTGCATTTTTGGAAGCAAGAGTGATCAGGCTAGTATGCTGTATGATATATGGAAGTGCTTGGAATAAGTAAGCAGTTTCATCAGCTCTGAACTAGCATTGTGTCCTAAAAACATTGCTGTCCGAGCCAGAGAGGTGGACAGTTACATTTTCTTAGGCATTAAAGTTTTAACTCCATGGTTAATGGAGTCAACCTGGATGGCCGGGGCCACTCTTCTAACTGGTCCTTGCCGCCACCTGGTGGCCATCAGGGTCAAGACCTTTGCAGTTTTTCCACTCCCACCGCTCAACCGGGCAGCTGCTGTTTCAGCAGGAGGTGGCCCTGGAGATAAATTTCTCTCTTTGGAAGCCTGCCTATTTTATTTTAACAGGTTCCTGTTCTCTTTTCTGGTGTCACACAGCTCTTCTTCACATGTTTGTCCTCTGCCCTGCCCTCATCCTATGTGTGATGAGACCATGTCTGAAATACCAGAAGGGAAGCTCTTAAATCGGGCCAGGAGGAAACGCATTTTTATGCATGAATGCTTCAAGGTGCCCCCTCGCCTCCTCTCACCCTGGGCTCACGTCCCTTTCTTTTTCTCAGGGACTGAGCATGTTGCTTCCAGGTTATTTTGCTGCCTGAGAGTCCTGTGTGAGACTGAGAAATGCCACGAAGTCGTGAGGATAAGACAGGGGTGGGGAAGATGGTGGGATTGTCGAGGAGGAAAACTGATCTATAGCAAGCTCTTCTTTTCCCCTACATTCACTTCTAATGATGTTTTGAACTTTTTATTTTAAAATAATGTTTGGACTTGTAGAAAAATAGCTAAAACAGTACAGAGCACCCATATACCCTCTATTCAGCTGCTCCTGATGTTAACATCTCACATAACCATGGTCCAGTTATCAAAACTAAGAAATCAGTATTGGTATAATACTGTTAACTAAGCTCCAGGCTTTATTTGGATTTCACCTGTTTTTCCACAAATATCCTTTTTCTGTCCCCGGATCCAATCCAAGATCACATGCTGCCTCTAGTCATTATGTCTCCTCAGTACCCTTCAATCTGTGACAGTTTCTCATGCCTTCCTTGTCTTTCATCACCTTGATATTTTTGGAGAGTTATTTTGCAGAATGTCAGTTATTTTGTGGCATGTTCCTCCATCTGGATTTGTCTGATATTTTCCCATCATTAGATGTGGTTATGCCATATCACCAAGAGCACCCCAGGGGTGACATCCCTTCTCAGTGCATCATAGCAGGGGGTCCATGATGTCAATACGTTTTACTGCTGGCGATGTGATCCCTGGTCACTTGTTTAAGGTGGTGTCTGCTGGATTTGACCATTGTAAAATTAACATTTTTCTCTTCGTAATTGCAAATATCTTGGAGGAGGTACTTTGATGTTATGTGAATACTTTGTGGTTCCTCTGACTATTGCCACTAATTTTAGCATCCACCAGTGGATCTTGTCTGTAGCAATTATCGCATTGCTGTCTTAATGATAACTTTGTATTTCCTTCATTCCTTCTACATTTAAGCTTCTAATGGCTTTTTTTTTTTTTTTTTTTGCTCAAAAAAAAAACTTTTTTTTTTTTTTTTTTTTTTT